GCTGCGACTCAGAGGGAACCTTTCAGGACAGAGCTCGTGGTGAAGGATTTAAAAGAGTGGAGCCGCTGAAGGAAACCCAGCTGAGGGCTGACAGAGAAGTTCAGCTCCAGGATGCTGGAGGAGAGACTGGGCCTGAGTGAAGCAGGTGAGTCACAACATCCTCTCACTGCTTGTTCCATGTGTCTCTGCGGAGTCAAGTCTATTTACATGGTTTGTACTTTGACATCACTGCTGAGGTTCAGCTGCTCGTCCAGTGTGGAGGCTTGTTTGTGTTGTGTAGACTAAAGCTGTTGTGTTAGTGTTGCTGGGTTAGGGTTACACAAACAGACACACACAAATTTACACAGGGACACACACACACAGAAAGGCTGACAGACACATACATGCACACACACATGCACACAAACTCACATGCGCATACACAACTACACACACAGACGGACACAAACGTAGACACACACACAAGCACACAAACTCACACAGACACGCGCACACACAACCAATCCACACTCACCTACACAGATACACACACTGACACACTGGACATGAGTCTGCATTATATACCCCAGATTAGTTGGTGGATTTCCACCACTAACACTTCTTCAAATGTGATTTGTCAACTTTTTCCCTCTCGTTGTTTTACTCTGCACCTTCTAATGAGATGACCTGTTGACTTGAAGCGTCCCCACATTGTTTAAGTTATTTTCACTGACCTCTGTGGCTTAAATGGGCCATAACCACCGCTTCCAGTGTAACTAAACTTCCCTCTCCTTTAGATACCACGTAAAATCTCCTCTTCAGTTGAAAAGCACCTTTCTTTGGTTTTGGCTGCTCAGCCTTTTCTGACGTCATGTGGTGCAGATAGTGCTGAATATATATGTGGAACACAGCCTCTGATGAAGGGTTATGTTGGACAGAAGCCACATTCATGCTTCTGTTTTCTCTGCATGTGCTGTGTTAGGTGAGTTTGATGCGTTTGACGGCCACGGTGCAGTCATCGCATTTCTGCCGCAGAAAGATCCGGGTCAGAAGCTGTGGTTGAAGAAACAACAGTGTGTAAAATGCGTATGTTTTATTTGTGATAGTTAAATATAATGATTCCTATTAAAAGGTTGTTTGTACTTACATTAGATACTGCCTCTGAAAGCACATCTTCGTTTTCCTCACTATGTGATAAAACAGAAGCTCTAAGATGAACAATCACGGTTTGGTAATCTACAGAAAAGTACAAAGGAAGAAATATTATCATGGAGACATCAACTACGTTAATAAAGAACAGTAGTCCATCACTGTCTCACTTCCATAAGTACACTTCGATATAATACGCTGTGAAATGACGACAATTACGAAAACTCGCCTGACAAAATATCTACCAGCTGCTTCGCACTTTTCCTTATACAAGCAGGATAAATAAAAGTTTACTCTGTGTTGCGCTGAATTGCACATCACCATTTGATGTGTCAACAGCATGCTCAAATATACGATATACAGTGATAACATCCACTATCAAACAATAAGATCAAACCCATCAACATTAATTTGCATCCATACATGAAAGACAATGAAATAAAGAAATACCCTCACAAAAGTCATATTTTCTTCATATGCATAATATGAATTATACTTCATGCAAGAACCAAAATTCAGCATGTTACTTTCTTGTGTGTGCCCCCTCTCTCATGCAGCACAGTATTTCTACTTCCACAGGCGCCAACGACGTATCCTCCTTTCTTTGCTGTCATTTTTACAGATTTGAAAATTCACTGGTGGTCCCTCTTTTTCTGCTACGTAGCCAAGATGGTGACTGTAATGAGTGAGAAGTTCTTTCTTGGATCTTCTACTTTTTGACCACCGTGAATGTGTCAATGCGAACACTGACTGTGCACTGCGCATTTTCATAATTCTCAGTGTGAATGCAATTATGATTATAGGAAATTGATGCATCCTGCGTTTCACTGACTGCACCTTTATGTGAGCTGCTGGTCCTCTGGGAATCTGTGTTCATGTTGGAAACCTCAGATGTGCTTCCCTCTACTGGTGAAGATGTGACACTACTGGTTCCCAGAGTAGCACTGGTCTCTGACAGTGTTGCTCCAGCTGTGAGAACATGTTAGAGGAAATGAGTCACTGAGGATCATAGTTGGGTTTGACCCTGATGCAACAATAAAACAACAAATTATCAGGATTATCGTTTATAGATTCAGTTTAGACAATCAATGACCAACCTGCTGCTGTAGAGGCTGTGGATCCTGAAGGTGTGAGTCCATATGCAGGTGTAGCTGTACTGCTTGAGGACGCTGTGGTGAAGTTTGTCTGTGTAGATGTGTTGTTTATTGTGTAGTGTGTTGTAGAAGCAGCGGTTGTGGATGAGGACGTGCTGCCATCTACTGGTGTAGATATGCTACTGTTTGTTGTATTGGAGAGAGTGGATGCAGGCGTCAGGGTGGTGTTGCTCTCAGTTGTGTTATGTGCAGTAGATGCTGAGGTTGTGCTCACATGTGTTGGTGCAGATGTAGCGTTGCTGCTTTGTGTGTCAGGAGCAGACACTGAGGTGCTGCTCACATTCAGAAGTGCAGATGTTCCACTGCTGCGTGTTGTCGTGGGAGCGACTGTTGTTGAAGAAACTCTAGATCTCAAGGTTGTGATGGTATTTGCCGGTGTAGACGTCGTGGTGCTTCTTGATGTGCTCAGAGGTGCACTGGCCGAAGCTGTAATCGAGAAGAAAGATCGTCACTTTCAAACTTACAGCGGCAGAGAGAGCTCAATGCACTGCAGATTAAGATAACAACTTCATCCATTGGACGACACATGGGCTGTTTCACAACACGTGCAGATACAGAAATGCACTGCAAATAAATGACCCAAAAAAGTGATGAACCTGGCTGGAGTCCAATGCTGTGGTTCTTCACTTTTTTGGGTCCCCTGGAAACATTTCCAGTGTCGTTTCTGTTTTGTCATTGTCTTTATCATTTTCTTGATCTTTGTTTTTGCTACAGGACATCCAGGATTCATTCATTTTTTTCAATGAGTCTTGCAGCCATGATAAGACCATCTTTTAAATGTACTGAAATTGCTATTCATTGTATTAGCTATCATTGTTTTGTCGCCAAGGAGACAAAATCATGGGTGTAATGGTGGAGCTGAACTTTCAATTCCCCAATATTTTGAAGATATTTCGCACCAGAACGGTTGAACCAAGGAAAACTCCCAGATCAAGTGTCCAGCTCATTTTTACACTTTAAAAATTGATTGTTATCAGAAAGTCAAATTTTTATGAGGTCCAGTAATTTATATTGAAAAAACATCCCCCCTTTTGTTTTCCCCACGTTCTCACCACACATTATCTTCAACATTAATCGCGAGGTCCCTCTGACATAACATTTTATTATTTATTATTTTTCCTCATCTAATTTTTGTCTTCACCATCACTTACAAGTGCAGGTTGAGCTGTAGTCTGAACAGCAGTCACTGAATACTGAGCAGAAATCGTCACAGTAACACCCCCTGAAACAGGTGAAGTTTTGACCGGAGCAGCACAGCACTGGTGGACCTGCACAGCCTGGAGCACACACAACACAGCTGTTGCAGAGAAACCACAGGCTCAGTACTGCATGTAGTCGTGTGTTCTTTTAAGATCGGTAATCAACCTAACTACACATCCTGTTCTACAGCAGGTATGTGTGGATGTTATGGTGGTAGTGGCAGGCGAACACTGGCAGGGATCACTGCAAACTGGGGTGAGAGCTGGGATGTGTTTGATGCATCTTGGGTGGACGCAGAATATGTTGCACAGGAGAAGTGTTGGAACAGGAAAAGGTCAGGTTGAGGATATTACCTGTTGCCGCTGATTGTGCTACAACATGAGAAGAGACAAAGATGTGTCATTTCATTTGAATTCAGGAAAAACTTTCATTGTGTGTGTCCAGACAGCAACGTCAACAGTTGGATAACACAAAATGTAGGTTCCTGATTTGATAGAAAATTAATAAAAGGCAAGTCCTTGTTCAGAGACACAATTTGTCACCAGTTTCTAGATGAATAATTCCATAAAACCTTAATGCAATTACATCTCATGAAGCAAGTTATTATTAGTATTACTTTATTGTAGTTATTAGTGTTTATGGAAGGAGTTTTCATGCTGAAGTTGGTAGAATTAGCAGTGATAAGTGACACACACCGGCACATAATATAAAAACAGGTGGAGGCTGTTTAGTTGCTTTCAGTCATAAACTGAGTCAGTGGTTCAGCTAAATATAAAACAAAGAACCCAAGGACAATAACCTGGTTCAGTAGAGGCTTCTTTTTTAATTGGAAGTGGCAACACACTTGTGAGCATTGAATTATTTCTCATTATACTTAAGAATCCAATTGTCTGAGTCATTTAGTATTTGAATTATTTGATCATTTTTACAAATGGCTCAAATAACAGTCACATCATTGTTGATCAAACTTTGGTTTGTTGCATCTTAACTATACTTATTGTTCATCCTTATTGTAAATATAAGTTTTAATCACATCCTTTGGCATTTATGTGATACATTTGAATATGACCTGACTTTATTGAACTCCTGAGTGAAATAAATGATTTACTCACCATCACTGAGAGGAAACAACGCCAGCAGGAAGAAGAAGCATAGTGCAAAGCTATCCATGACTCTGTATGCCCTCTGAGTGTAGGCAAGGCTCATTTATACATCTGTCATCAGACACAGACACTAATCCCATTGTCTGATAGCAGAAAGGGGTAAAAACTACCTGGTTGTAATCATAATATCATGTTACAGAAGTTCTCTATCATTTTTGTAATGATTTGTTTCACTTGTTCCACTGGTTCACCCTGTCTGACTTTAGATATGTCAGGAATGGCCTTGTGTCGACACTCCAGACGTAATGGCGAGACACAAGGTGACGCAAATTACCACAGTGCATTTTAATTGAGGCAGTGAAAAGAAAACCTGCCATTGTGCTGTCATTCAAGTTAAGTACAAACACAATTCTTAATAATCATTTATTGCACATGCAACCCCTTTTCAACAGTATCATGTGTCCATATGTAGACATACGTTCTCATCATTCAAACACTGTATTGTACCTTTTGTTCAGCGTGGCCATTACTGTGAAAGATCTACACAGCTGTAAGAACATCGCTTTTGAAGAAATGGTATGCTCGACTGTGACAAAAACAGCAACGTCTGATATATTGTCACTGATTTCTTGAAAATGTGATGGTTTCAAAGAAAAATCATTTTTAAAATAGACGTAGTCTTGACATCAGATTCTTTGAACAATGCAAATCCTAATAAAAGCAGATGCTGTAGAAAAGTATTTTTTTTATGATACTTTGTCCTGAACAGCTGGAGGAAAAGACAACTCAGTGCCACTGGTGTTTTTTAGCTTAGTCATGTTTTGAAGCTTAGGTTTATTCATATCTTCTAAGGTTACAGATATTATCCTTCTGATATTTACACTCTCCAGCTCTCTCCGAACTCTCGAACACTCCTGGCCATGGTGCCGTCCGGCTTCATCCAGTCATTCCTCTTTTGACTGTCAAAGTTCCCACACAGACCTCTTACTTTCCTTTTATATATGTGTGGGAGAATGATCTCTGCAGGGAAAACATATCAATCCATCAATCAGACTTTATTTATACATCACCTTTCAAACAAATCAATTGCTGTTCATAAACCAAAAGCATCTCTGACAGGTGTCACGTAAATACGAAAAATATCATCTTTTCCACATTCTCTTTTTAGTTCCATGGTATGATTATTTTCCATATTTTTCACATAAACAACACAAAGCCACTTAATTCAATGCCTCTCTCCAAGAAAATAATTACTTGCTGTGGAATTTAATAATAAACTGTGATTTAATGGTTTGTGATGAATCCTACAATTTTCAGAACTGCTAATTCTGTTGGTGAAGATTAGTTACCTGCTGAGCTGCGTCCATTAAACTCCACTGAGAGGCCAAAGTCAGTCTTCAGGTAGATGCGAGATGAATGCTGCCGGATGTTTAAACCAGCGGTCGGTGAGACAGGCATTTTGGTTTTCTTTCCATCCACCTGCAGGGAGATCGAGAAGGGGATGTGTCAGTGAGAGACAGGTAGAGTCGTGTGAATATAGCTAGCTCCTGTATGATTATCTATGTTGTGTGTAAGCATTCAGAAAAACACTTTCATTCCTTGTTTCTTGTCTAATAATGACTGAACAGCAAATCTAATAGTGATGGTAGTAGAGGAAGGTGATATAAGCAGAAGGACACAAGGAGGCAGGCAGAGCAGCAGGACTCATTTGTGTTGGCCTCAAGAGTCTTGCCACACTTTTCTGTGTGCTAGAATTTCACAAGGTGTTGGGATCAAGATGTTATTTTATTTTACTTTCTCTGATTGTGTAGAAATGTTTTCACATCCCAGGTTATTATGATATCAAGTCAGATATAATGAAGAAAAGGCTTTGGCAATGAGGATTGTGTGTATAAAAACTAAACATATAGACGTAGAAAAAACATGTACCAATGAACCACACGCACCTGACTATACTGAAGATGACACCCCCACTCATCCTCAAAGTTGATGTGCCTACTCTGACTATGAAAATCCTGACTCTGGGAAAGCCAGTTTTTAGCCGTGCTACCAGTGTGGCTTAGGTATGGGGAAAAATAACAGCTTGATGGTCAGTTCAACACTTTCCAGATTGATATTATAAGAACTATTTGCTATGAAATTCAAAAAGAGTGTTCATAGAATAACTCTTCATGACTCTGCCATTTGATTTATAAATTGATTCCCTTTGAAATGCGTGTCCACAATGCTTTTGTGTACAGCTTTACTCTGCATATAGCACATCATCAGTTTCAACACTATAGTAACACCTTGCTGTAAAATAAACCTATATGAGTAGTGCTGCATTTTTCCCTTAGTATTTTCATAATTGTGTGTGGGCGGGCAGAAATGGGATATTATCCCACGTACCAGATACTGCATCTGAGAAAATGATATGGCAGCATTGTGTTGATGTGTTGTTAAAAAAAAAAAAAAGCACTTGGTACTTACGACCAGCTCTCGATTCTTCCTCATCTCCACAGTGTGATTGTACACTATGATCTTAAGCTCTTGTAATCTGGGATGCTCCTCATCTTCGTCGCTGTCATCATAATATTTGCGATCGTTGCGGTCATTGTCATCATCGGCTTCATCGCCGTCATCATCATCTTTCTCTTCATCCCCGACTCTGCGACTGTGGTTTTCTTCACTGCTACTGTCGTCATGATGCTCACTATCATCACTATCATCACCATCATCACCATCATCTACTCTGCGTGTATTGATGCCCACGATGTAGACGTCTGGAATGTCATTCGGCAAGTTTTTGGTCTGGACCAGCACATACGAGTGCTCGCCCTCAAATTCATACTTCATTTTATCAAAGGTTCTGTACTCTGGGTCTCCATTTATAGTGCATTCACTGAAGCCTGTGGAACGAGTGAAGAGTAAATAATAAGTTGGTGAAGAAGATGTAATGTAGTTTAGATATGCAATTAAATGTTGGCATTAACAGCACCTGTAGATCTGCAGTACCATTCGCCCTCGTTGTTTTGAAGGCAGACAGCATTTCCATCGCATTCGTCTTTGTCGTCGCAGTCAATCGTCCCTATGCCATCGTCTTTCTCACATTCACATTTCTGACTGCAGTGATTGGTGTACCACCTGTCATTGAACTGTCAAGAAAGATAATGTACAGGTTGGACCTCAGTGTCCACATGCATTGCTCTCATCGTCTCAAGTATTTCAAACACTGTGTGAGTCATATTGGTGAAAAGTTATTCCCTCACATGATGTTTGTTGCCACTACTGTCCACGCATCCACACTCTTGGATAGGCACGCAACGCTGCCCTTTCTGCACAAAGCCGTCATCACACACACATCCTGGCACACAACTGTCACTGTCACTGCAGCGTGGTGGGCCATTCAGGTGTCTGCAGGTTGGACTGCAGGCAGGGATGCAAGTGGTGTAATGACTGTTTTGTGGGCAAGAGGGTGCTAGGCAGAGAAAGAGAATATCCTTAGACACAACAGAAAATGACACAAAACTTCTACATAACCAATTTATACTTTAATGAACTAAATTATTGGGTCACATGTGACTTGTTACCTTACATGTGACGTGTAAAGTAGCCTGTGCATTATGGGAATTACAGTTCATGTTCAAGTTTTTTTTATATAAATAGGGAAATTCAAATGTCTTACTTACTTGGCACAGCTGTAGTTGGTGGTTTGGGTCTAGCAGTTGTTGTAGATTGTGTTGTAACTGTAGACTGAGGTCTTTCTGTTGGTGGATGTGGTTTTAGGGTTGTGGTGGGTTGGGGTCCAGCTGTTGTTGTGGGTTCTGGTCTCAGTGTTGTTGTGGATTGTGGTGTAACTGTTGTGGTTTGGGGTTTAGCTGTGGTTGATTGTTGTGGTCTACTTGTTGTTTGTGTTTCAGATGGAGGTTGGGGTCTGGCTGTGGTTGGAGGTTGAGGTTCATTTGTAGTGGTTTGAGATGGTG